CTCTCTTCTTCTTCTCTGGTCGATCTTCCGGTAGCAATGACCACCAGCCCCTCCATAACAGCATTATTATAACATACCACAGTGAGCTCCTCGAAAGGTCTAGCCGTCTCGATGTTGGTGAGCGTAGCCTCGAGGTCCTTCAGCTCTAGATCGACCTTCTCCTTGGTAGCCTCGGCATTCTTGACAGCTTCGACCTCGAAGGCCTCGATAGCCTTTAATTGGCGCGAAACATCGTACTTGGCGGGCTGGAAAGCGGAAAATCGCTTCTCGATCTCGTCGATGACGGCTGTGTTCTTGAGGACGGAGCGGTACTGGGCGAAGTCGACCTGGGTGGGCAGCTCGGACAGGGCCTGGACCTTGCGGCGGGCGTTTTCGTTGCGCTGCTTGAAGGCTTGTAGTGATGCGACGGTCTGGCCGCGCAGACCTAGCGAGGAGGTCACCTTGGTCCAGTCGAGCTTGAGGGCTGCGCTTTTCTAACGAGGTTGAAAGAAAAAATGGAAATTAGCTCATTGTCCATTTTTCCCATTTCATTTTTCTATGGTGTCCGGGCTGGAGCAATTGGGGGGAGTCAATTGATGGCATATTTCCTTCTAAATCTTCATGTTCCTAGATAGAAAGTTATAAGAATAGTCAATACTTACTGTCGCCATTTTTGTGATGTAATGAGAAAAAAAGGTAAGAGAGTGGAGATCTGAAGCAATTCACAGCAACTTTAGGATGTTCATTGAATCTCTAAGTTGGAACCTCCAGTCTGCCGAAGAACTCCGACACTACATACCACTAAGCCTTTCAGTCCCGTGACTAGTGGATCACGTGAGACACGGTTTCCTTCTTTACTAGGTATGTACACCTCTACACCGAGCTGACCGAGCTGCTCCTATTTCATTACGTGCATGAGTGACAATCATTGATACCTACCTAAATAATTACATACTTACCTAGGTATGTTACTGTCTTATTCTTGTCTTACCAGAAAGATCTTTACGAGGGCTACTGTATTTTTTTATGGTAGAGACTACAACACCGTTACAAAGTAGGTCGTAGAGAAATGTGCATTGCATTGCAGGGAACAGAAGAGAAATCCTAGTATAGCCACTAGGAGTACAGATCATAACTCACGAACGTTGGTCATATTCACGACGGCTCGGGAATCAATTGTGTAAAGGTATCGAAACCCTGCAATACACAGTCAAAGCCGACTTTCCCTTTCTTTTTTTTTGGTACCATATGCCGACATTTTCCCCTTGTCCTTGTCGCAATGCATCAAGCCGAAGGAAGATGACTCTGTTCCCGCACAAACTAAAACAATCAAGACTCGCCCGGAGTAGTCGTCGCATCATTAAACGCTAAGCGCCATGATTGAATTGACAATGTCGTTATCATTCTCCTTCAGAGCCTTGATTGCCTTGTTTCGCTTCACGTTGGCTTGGGTCATCACGAGCTCGATGTCCTTATCCTCAAGTCCGTCAGCGTCAACTTCCTCGTCGTCGTCGTCATCCTCCTTCTTGTCCTCGGCACCCTCCACGGCCTTGCCGTGATCGCCGTGGCTGTGGTCGTGACCGGCGTGGTCGTGCTCGCCACCTTGGGCAGCAAGGGATTGAGCAGCAGCTTGCTGGGCGGCCGAGTTCAGGTCCTCAATCTTGGCCTCGCCGAAGACGCTAATGAAACTTGTCAGCTACCTACGTTTGATATTTAGGATTTGAGATGAGACTGCTTACATGTAGGTGTTGCTGTTGGGGGACTTGTAGACTTCGGGGTTGTTGATGACGAACAGGATCTGCAGGTAATATGTCAGCCCTATCTACAACCAGTAACTAGGTAGTTCTTGCGTAGAAGCAACCAGCCAGCCATTCTTCTCTCCCACGAGGAATCCCGCAGAGTTGCAAGACTAGGCATTGTACTAGACATATATGACTGCCCCTCTTCTTGCGCAAAGCCCAACTCTTCCAGCTTCCCCCCTCCTCATCTGCGAAATGGGAAATGTTCATCGTATCAATATGTAGTACTTACGTTCTTCGGTCGTCGTAGGGTCACGCGGGTGATGCCAGTGACGCGGGTCAGGTGGAGCTTTTCGATGGCTTTGCGAGCCTTCTTCTCGTTGCGGGAGTGCACGATGGCGGTGGAGCCGGCAGCACCACCCTCGCCCACCTCGATCTCGCTGTCGGAGCTGTCGTCGTCCTCCTGCTCCTCGACCGAGACCTTCTTGGGCTCGTCGTCGGGTAGTTCCTCGATTCTCGGGTTGGCCATCTTGACAAATTTTTTCTCTGATCGGACTGGTGGGGTTCGAGTTAGCTATAATTTATTTCCGTAATGTGCGATTGTGTTTGGTGGGATACGATAGTGGGATGTGATGGCGGCCCGAGCTCACAAACGCACTTATTGAATCGTCTTCTTCAACCCACCTAAACTTGGGGAGGAATTGAATGGGGATGGGGATGTGGAAAAGACCTTTTTGTATATGAATACTAAAAAATTCAAGAACTTACCAAAGAATAAAAAAAAGCTACAACAGTTGGGAACGCCGACAAACTCTGTACGTAGCGGGGTGATTGGTTGTTACCTGGGAGGGAAGTGGGTGGTTTCGGTTGTGAAGAAAAGTTCCCCTACAGCTGCGAACTTTTGATGTCAATTGTTGTTCGGCCTAGGGTTTGCCTAGTTTTTTTTTTTGCGAGCTCTGTGGCTCACCCGCAAACTAAATGTACCTAATGTGGGGGGTTTGATGTATTACGTACCTACGTACTTTCTTCACTCGTGCGGTGCTCCGACAATCAATATCTGATTATGTAATTCCACAGGCAAGAACGATGGAAACCACTTACACGCACATATGGAGCATCCGAGGTATCATTCTTGTTATGTATGGACTACTAGATGCCATATGCTGCGCACGATATTAGAGGTTAAGTGAGAAGTGAGGCTTTACTGCAAAACGGCCATGGCAATACAAATGGGACATTTCTTGGGTATTATCATCCTTTGATCGCATGTATACGTGAGACTTATGCATATGTACTGTAGCACTAATCCATGGCATCAGCAACTTCACACAACTTAACATTCACGATAAGACTAAATTACGTCGGCAGCTTCAAAGCGGTTGGTTTGTTGTTGCAAATTTCCGTATCATTGACGCCGGTCACCTCATCGAGAATTTTGTGAGTGACATACAGGTCTTGTCTCGCCAGACGAAGCAGAAGAACCTAGTAACCCCATGCCAATGTAGTGTGTGTGTGTGTTTGTGTTGTATGTTTGTTTGTTTCATGCAGACCAGATCCGTAAGAACTAACCCTCCTTGCTCTACCTGAACTGAAAGAGACCGTCTTGTTTAGAAACAATCCTCATGCACTTGTCTGCTCTTCCCCTAACTAAGGTAGTTTACGCAGAGGCCTTGACCTTGGCTAGAGCCTTGCGCTCCTCGAATCGGCGTTGCTTCTTGAGTCGCATCACCTTGAATCGGTCGAAGTCGGTGAGGGCCTTTCTTCGCTCCGTCTGGTCCTTTCGCTTAGCCCACTTGCTCTCCTTCCACTTGGCATCGATGCCTGCATTCTCCCATGCCGTCTTCAAGGTACCGTTTCGGACAGCTCGGGGCAGCTTCTCGATCTTGAGGTCGGATAGCAGCACATCGGAGAAGGAGATGGCTTGTCGGGGAACGACCAGCTTGGGGTCTGCCGAAGGTCCATCAACCAAAGCCTAGAATAATTTCCCAAGTCAATATACATGTTTTTTTTTGTTCGCAATTTCCTTTCTCTTGGATATCGGGTTATAAACATACGCGCTTGTGGTCGATGATCTCGACGATGGCAGCGAGTCTGCCGGCGAAAGGGCCGTTGCCTTGGACGAGGACGACACGGCCGACCTCGACCTGGCGCCACTCGGGCGATTCGATTGATGCGTCACCCATTGTGTCGGTATGCTGCGAGAAGTTTGGTATTAGAGATTGGAGTTATGAAAGATGGAAAAGGAAAAAATGAAAGATGAATAGAGATGGTTTCTCGTAAAATCAATTGGTTAGTGGAGAGAAAGAATAATATCACTTACTGATTTGGTGTTTGTCGTTGAGTTGGTCTTGTCAAACAAATCCTCCTACCTTGTAATTAATTGTCTGGGCTGAACTTTTCGTGAGTGTCGCGCATGCAGTAGACAAAGTTGAATCTTGTGTGGGCGGTTAGGGTTAAACCGGAATTTCTAGCAAGCCGTACACCCGAGCCCCACCATAGTTGCACCGTGCACTCCGTGTACCATGCAAGGGTGGGGCAGCGTGCAGAACTTCTCTTCACCTAACCTAAACTTTTCCAGCCTCAACTTTGTCTCTCTTTCATCAACTTTTCTTCCCTCAACATACCTAGGTAGGAAAAGAAAATGGCGTAATTAATCCAATTGCGCATCAATATCTCCATATGCATTCAGGTAAGGACATCTCCTATCATTCCGGTCACATGCACACATTCTCTCCGCCTTTGTTATGATGAGGTAATTTGCGATTGATTCTACTTCGATGGCGCCCTCGCCGGGGCTGCTATATCGGGTAGGAATGTGATAGTCAATTCTTACATATTCTGAACACTTTACACACTATTTGCCTTGCAAAATAAGAAAATATTACTTGCTGCACCTGACTAACTGTGTTACAGAACGATTGGTACCCCGACGCGACATGTGATCCCAATGTGGCCTGTCATATACATGGCTCGTGAACTTGGGTTTTGAGGCACACGCCTATTTTACTTGTCATCCACTACTCCAGCCAACTCAAGGCAAGCTTTGTGGTAGGAGGCTTAGAGTGCTCGACTAGATCACTAGTGGTACTTGCCCTGGTGGCTCTCAGTTTACTCAACTACATATCTCTAGCAAATGTTAGAATATAGACATGAATATCACATTTAGATGGTCTACTCCTCTTGTTCTTTCAAATACCTGGTGAAGCTCTTAGTGTGGTGTTTGCCAAGCCCGGAAATCTTGTTGGAAATCTAAAAAATTTTTTGCAGAAACGAATATATCTGTGACAAGAGTGGGATTTGAACCCACGCGGATTGCTCCATGAGGAATTGATGCTGAGATGACCTTAACCTCAACGCCATAACCATTCGGCCATCTTGCCATGAAGACCATGTAATGTCAGTTGGTTTCTGATTGTGTTAGGCGAAGTGTGTGAAAACATAGATAGCAATCATGAGAATTCGTCATCTCGCCCATTGAGCCGCCCTGGAGAGTTCATGTGGTGAGAGGCAGGTATAGATGGCTTCAGCAAACGGTCCTCATGTTTCCAGTTGGTCCGTGACATGATGTGACCAACCACCAGCAAACATGTCATTATACTGAGTATGTACCTAGGTAGCATATAGGATGTTCGGTGCTGGCATTAATATCTAATTCCAAAGAGGCTATGATACTCCAGTTCCAACATCGTTCCAACATCGTTCCAATCTCAGCTACTTGCGAGCCAGTCTTGAATCAAATATGCGTTCGTCCTTGCTAGCCGTCGCTGGGTATATCTTGACAAAGCAAATGCTAACTACAACGCTAAGACCTTAGTATGCAACCCCTTGTTGACTGACACCATGCGAGATTGCAAACCTGTGAACTCCTTCCTGTCCGACGGGCATCTAAATGCCCTCAAACCCCTCCAGCACATGGTTACAAAGGGAAAAGATGCGATGTGGGTATGTTAATGTCGTATACAAGTGAGATGAGTGATGGGATGGTGACAAGATCGGAAATGCAACAAAATATACGGCAACCCAAGGAGCGTAAATGTACATTATTCGGCGAGAGGGTTGTTGTCGGGGTAGATTCCTTATTCATCCACGGCGGGGAGGCCATCCTCCAACAATTCTTTCTCGTATGGCCATTCGAGGGGGCTCATGGAGGCATATCTCAATCCTCTTTCCTTCTCCAGCTCTTTGCGCATTATTTCCATCTCAAGCTCCCATCGTTTCTCAAGGATCACTCTGCGCTGAGAAAAGGTGTTGGTTAAAGCATCTTCTTCGTCCGCAAAATCAGACTCAAGACTCTCCAATTCCTTTCTATTTTTCTCGGTCAGTTTCTCCATCTCGGATTCCTGCCTTTCGAGCAACTCTTCGAGGGCTTTAGCTTGACGGTCTCGCATCACGTTAATCTTGGCTTGGTGTAGTTGCTTCATGTTCCTCTCGACGTTGTATTGTTGGCCAAGTTCGCGCAGATCTCGTTCCGTCACAGTTCGGGAGGGCATATCTGCCTCGGGCTTCTGACCCAAGCCATCACAGTACGCTTCCATATGTCTGAGACGAGTCCGCACATTCTTTTCGCTCTGCTCTAGCGTTGAGCGCAGTTCCATCTCTGCAGCAACTTGTCTATCTTCGAGGTTGGCAGACGTCTTCGCCTGTCGTTCTTTCATTCTCTCAATCGCTGTCGACTGTTTCTCCACTAGAGCAAGTTTTTGGTGTGCATGCCTTGTCCACATGAGCCATTTCGATTTTCTTTCGAAAACACGGAACCGCTCCATCTCCTTTACTTGCTCCACACGCAATGCTTTGAACTCTTCACATCGTCGAGTACGTGCTTCCGCTTCAAGTCGTTCGGCCGTTTCCTTCGCGGCTTCTTCCTGTTTAGCTGCCTCCTCGGCTGCCAACGCTGCTACCCGTTCCTCTTCCTCGACACGCCGTCGCTCCATCTCAGCTTCGCCATTGCAGAAATTCGGACAACCGACCATTGGATCCCAGACTGCGCCACAAATGTAGCAGAACTGTGCCCGGCATCTGCATGTCATATGCGTACAGCCTTGTGTAAGCTCGACAAGTGTACGGCACTTGTAGCACCTCCTCCAGCCCGACTTCTCCCCTATCTTCAAAACTGCTTCCAGCTCCCAATCATCGGGACAGTCTTGTCCTATGGGGTGAGCATTCCTCTTACACATGACGCAAACTCGCGTCTTGCATCTGCGACATATGGCCTGAAACGGGTGTTTGGGGTCGATTTTGGTCCGCGACGGTATGAACTCTCCGCAAGATGGATTGGAGCAGAATACCCGTGACTCCCAAGGGGTGCTGAATTGCACGACAGACTTGAGGAATTTGACTTGCTCTTCGCGAGGCAGTATAAACTTGATGATCGAGCTTGGTATCGGCTGCGTACAGCATCGTGGCGGCATCTTGGATTCGTCAGTCGTTGCTTGATTGACCATGATTCTTAAGCACCGAGGACAATAACTATGTCCGCACGGCAACTTCTGAAGTTTCTGGCCTGGTTGGAGGTCTTCTCGACACGCACTGCACGACCTAGAAGAGAGAAACAAAAAGCTGTTAGCACATATCGTTATACACGTTAGAGATGCTAGACAAACATGACCATATCCACAGGATAAGGTGGGTTCCTGCGTCTACGCCGTAACTTGGAGAGGCCTCGCTTGATGCTGAGATAACTTCTGGTTGTGCTGACACTGAAAAGGCTTGGAGCGGATTCGGTTTCTGTCGGTGACGATGACATAAACCGGGGTTGGTTAAGAGTTGGATTAACCTGTGTAAGGTAATTCTCATATTGAGCAAAAGTGAGAGTCCTCGATCGCTTTCTTGTGACAAAACGTCCAGTGGGCTCGGGGCATCCGTTATTTGAAGAATGGGTTGTTAAATTTGTGCTAGCAGAGCCCTGTGATCCTGTAGATACGGAGCGGACATGGTTCGTATCTACAGTAATACTGGATTCAGCGCCAGACGTGTTTCGTTTGTTTTTCATCGAAATAGGACTCGACGGCCGCGAGACAGCAATACCCAAATTTGTGGCCTTCACGAACAATTCCTCTTCGTAGGCCTTAGTTTCCTCGGGTGAGAGTTGTTGGACCTGGTTTAAGTAGTCGGCATCTCTTAGTTCGGGGGGAGTACCGTCTGGACCATAAGCCAGGTCCAAAGATGGTGGCTTCTGAACAGACGCGGCCATTTTGGCAACGAATGCAAGAGGTGTCGAATGGAAGCCCAGCTCACGGGATCAGTCAATTGACCAACTTCATCGTTTGACTTATCGACGGGCCAATGCAGCAGGCAAAAGATGAGATATCAATAAGTGACGGTGGGGGAGGATCGGATTGCCGTAGGCTACATCAATATCCTAGCTCTAACCCTGGCAGCGCTGACTACTGACCCTTGGAATGCGGCCAAGCGGCGAGACGTGAGTGGGCAGATTGTGGGGAATAACACAACAAGCCAGCTAGGATATTGACCAGGTTCGGCGATACGTGATCCAGTCGCAGATTGATAAAGAAGATCCCTCGAATACAATATGTAAGCGCCCGTCGTCGCCCAATCTGTCAAACTGCAAACGCCGTGATCCAACTAAACCGAAATAATAACCATGGAGCACTGTAACATCACAGCAAACGGAGGTAGCAGCGGCACGCCTCCTAAAGAGCGTTTGGGTGATGTAAGTAGGTAGTCACAGGGTAATAATGCAGGCAAGCAGACATGCGGTCAGTTAGAGGGAAATGATCAGATGTCAAAAGACGGGCGAGCCCGGACGAGGCTTGGTTGATTGATTCACGCAGCCGAGAGTGTCCAGCTTGCCAATTCGCAAGAAGTGATATGTGTGATGTGATGCTGCGATTGGACTAGATATGGGGGCCGCGGGGTGCTAGAGAAGATGCAGATTGGCCGAGGGTGAATCTAACAACAGCAGGGCTAGTTAGTGTATGTAGGAGAGCAGCTGTGAAAGTCGGATGCTCGGGTTGGCGGCCGTACTGTGATCACTGCCTATATTCATGTATGTGCATACACCTTCATATAATAGTTGTAATATGAGCAAAGTAGGATTTCCTCGGCTGTTAAAGGTGCCTGAGGAAGGTCTTAGAAACAGCGGTCTGGTTGTGACGTCGTTAATACCGATGCCAGCATGGATGATCGAAGATTCGAAGAAGAAGAAAAAAGATAAGACATCAACGGTAGAGATCTGCATACTCTTGCATTGACGGTGGAAAGACGACAATATGACTTATTCTCGATAAGGCTGACAAGACGCAGAGAACTGTGATAACACCTACTGTATACTCCGTAATAACCCCGACTTCTTCCTAAAACCGAATTATCTAAATATTTGTTTAGCACCCGCGAAACCATGACCGGTAATTGTGAAATATGGAGTTGGGAATCCTTTACCATTAGAGACCGAGGCGCTGCGAAGTCAAGACAAGACAAGAAAAGAGGATTTGAAATGGGCACACCGGTAAAGGACTAGGGCCGGGCTTCCAATACCAATACCGTTACGGACAGCTAAAGTGAATGTGACGGGCTCGGCAGGCTGTCAAAAATACACACAGACAATGGGCAAGCGGTTGTATTGAAACTGGAGAACCAAAGGTCGGGCGATCAGATCGAATCCTGGATTGGAACCCAAAGCTAGGCGGGGTTCGCTAAGGTTGTTACTGCTATCTACCTACCTAGCTCGATGTCGTTATGTGATGTGACATTGGTCAAGGCTAACTACAACTCAAAATAACATGTAAAAAGTGTACTTTGACTTCAGTGGCCACATGCACTTTGTTCTTGAGGAAGTCCCACAACCCCCACCAGTAGACCCAGCTTGCCAGCCAGCCAGCTTTACCAGCTAATGCTGTGAATGGATAACCTACTATGTAATGGGTAGCATCTCTACTTCCACTTATTCTTCACATGATATCGAGGCTCTATCTTAAGCGACGACGCAAATTACACTTACCTAAGGGGCTAATAGATAATGGATGATACGAGGCAAGCTGAGGCTCAGCAACATTCGATCACCAACACTGAGCTTATTTTTCAATAAGGAAACAATAGCTTCGAATCAGTTGGTGCGCGGCAACACTTTTACATCATTCAGCTCGGGATGTGGGGGTTACCGAACACTGGATTCCTAACAAGGGATAGCAAGTGGGAGAATCTCGAAAAGCCGCCGCTAGCTTCGTATTAGCTCCGGTACGTAATTATAAATGTTCTAACATTTTTGCTCTTAGCTTTTCGGATGCGTATGTTTCCTTCGATAGCTTCCTCCTTTTTTTTCCACGAAAAGGAAGCAACCTCTTGTTTCTCTTCTTTAAAGGTAGCTAGTCTCTTATTTCCAACAGTATGCTACTTTATCTAAGTTACGATGAGAGTTTCTCGG